TAGTTATGTTTTTATTTGCATCATTCACATTTAGGGATGACCCCCAAATTTTAATTTTAAAACAATTGTAAACCACTTTTTGGACTTGGGATACAAGTATTGGTGCTGAGAAATATGTATGTATATTTTTTGTATTTTTTTCATTTATTTTTATATTTTAAACAATTTTACAACAAAATATGATTAAAATATAACAAATATGACATGTGTCAGCAAAAGGTGATCCCAACATCCCATCCACTTCCACGTGTCAGCAAGGGACGCCGCCACCTGGCATCTCATGCAATTAACTATTTCTTTTTACTTTAAAATTGATTTAAAATGGTAGAGTTTAGTGGTTAGGGGTTAGGGTTTGGGGTTTAGGGTTTTCATATGACAAACTTTTCATGCTATATATATGTGTGTGTTTTTATGCTATCAAAACATAATAACTTGGGATGGGTATTAAATAATATTCTGAATGTTTGTTGTAATTTTCTAATTTTTAATTTATTTATTGTGAATTTTAGAAGTTAAATCATATAAAAAGAGTGTATGTGATAGAATGTTTTGATTTGTCTGTGAACAAAGTTGAGTTTTTATCATTGTGCTTGTATTTTTATAATTCAAAATTAGAATTTTGGAGCTTTAAGGAGAAGAGAATATATGAATTTTCGGTGTATTTTTATGATTTTTAATTTTTTATTATGAATTTTAGAGCACCCTGTGAGTATTTCTCATGTGTGGCCTTATAAGATGATAACACGTGTCATGTTTTTGTAATTTACTGTGTTTTATCTTAAACAATTTTGTCTCATGTGTGGCCTTATAAGATGATAACACGTGTCATGTTTTTGTAATTTATTGTGTTTTATGACACAACATTCGATGGAGATCTAAAATTATGATTTCATATATTTAAATGAATGAGAATCATTTGATCAAAGAAACAAGAGTGTATGTGAAAGAATGTTTTGATTTATATCTATGAACAAAGTTGAGTTCTTATTATTGATTTGTATTTTTATAATTTAGAATTAGCATTTTGGAGCTTTAAGGAGAAGAGAATATCACAAGATGTTCATAGGAATTTTCTGTGTTTTTTTAAAAAAAATTATCTATGAACATAATGGTTGTTGCATCCAAGTTTTTCCATGAACCAAGAACACATGCATGAATGCAAGATAAAGGTTTTGTAGCATGAAAACAACTTGTGAGAGCACATTGTTTAATATGGAGCACAGAACTATTGCTTTAGGTGTGAATTCCCAACTTAGCACGGAATGAATGTCTCCATCCGCTTTGGGTGTCTCCATTTTTTGAGCATCGTATTACACTATTAGAAATGCATTTTCATTTTTTTCTACAAGCTTAAAAATGGAGGCAAATCCTCCACCACATGTACATCAACTGTTAGATCCAAATTTTCATAACCAAGATTGGAGCTTAATGAAGCATAATGGAACAACTGACTGACACAGCAGAATGCCGGTTGATACTCTATTGACTGCATTCGACTTCAAAAAATGGTTTCAGCTTCTCATATTACTTTGGAGCATGTTTGAGTGTGTTTATCTGTTTCCCAATGGATTCACTACGGCTTCAACAGATACTGTTTTCTGTTTCCCAATGGATTCACTATGGCTTCAACACAAGTACAGGCTAGTTTATGTCAATTTTAGATTAACCTTCAGTATCAGATATGAACATACATAAGTCTCACAAACGATTCAGACCCAAAAAAAAAAGTCTCACAAACGATTGATTAAAACTCAACAATCATGTGAAAATGTAACGATAACTACTCAAATGCAGGGTCCGTGCATTAAATCAAAGTCTTGCAAAAATGCCTTTGTCGGATTAGGCTGCACAATACGTTCACTATTCTGCGTCTTCTACGTAGGGTGCATATTCTCAGCAACTGAAGCAGCCACATCTGTTTCAAAAGATGATGAGCTACAACAACGACAAAATATGTATAAACAATAAAGTCAAATCGTTAAAATCCTATGAATTCCTTGTGGCATTTTGTTATCTTTTAAGTTGAAAATATAATTTTTAAATATAAAAAATTGAAATAATTTCTGAAAGTTCTATACTAACAATAATACTATGTTGAACATCATTACGCTCCCTTACAACAACTCTTTCTCCAATTATTACTTCAAATTTCCCAACTTCAAAAATTTTATTTTCACACATCATAGTCGAAAAGATAATGTGCCATGGTGATGGCTTCCCTTACTAGTAAAGGAACTGGAAGAGAGGTGCTATCAGTACTGCTCTCGTTATCATTGGCAGATATCAATAAGTTTCTATAAATTTTTGGTGCATTTTTCTGATTTTTCATCATTTTTTTGTGTGAATTTTTGAAGTTTAAGATACAAAATTGAACCTGTGATGACACGTATTGCTACATGATACTGACACATGTCAAAAACTCTGATGATGCACCAATCTGACGCTGCCATGTGTCATTCTCTTTAATTTATTAGTATTTTCCAATGCTTTAACTTCCAAAAATCATAATAAATTCATACAAAATTAGACACATTCACCAAAAAATCCTACAAACTTCTAATCACATTTCCTTCATCTTTTAAGCCTTAAAATATAATTTTGACATATAAATTTCAAATAATTTCTCAAAGTCAAGTTTATTTCTATACTACCAATACTACTATGTTGACCACCATTACTCTCCCTTACAACAACTCTTCCTCCAATTATTACTTCAAATTTCCCAAAGTTAAAATTTTATTTTCACACATCATAGTTGAATCTACCTTTTAGGATACTTATGAATGCCAAGAAGCCATCAATAATTTGTCAACAACAACAGGTGAATAGATTATCACTCTAGTCTATTTTATCAGTAATAACACGTGCATAATTTGTCAATATTGTATCAGTAACCCATCAATAGTGCATCAGAAACCATTAGATTTATTAATCCAACTCCAACTGTACTAAAGGCTATAATGGAGCACGCTAACCATTTTGAGCTCAAAGTGAAGGACCAAAAGAAGGAGAGTTTGCAGTAGGAGGGCCTTGACCTCTGTGACAATACAAATAAAAGAAACGTAGGATCAACTGTTAACCTTATATCCAAAATCACCAGTATCCACAAACATACATGTACCCAAAAAAATTAGCATAAAATTTATGAAAAAACAATCAATAAGGAGAGGGACATACATTGCAGCAAAGGAATCAGCCGATTTGAGAAAAGATGTGCCAAAGTCTCTGTTCTATTTTTTTAAGAAAACAGAAAACCTGTACACATCACAGTTTTAGATTGAGGCTTAAACTAGAAATACTCAAACACTACCCAAACATGAACAATATATCAAAATTACATAACAAACTGAATTAACAATTAGAAAACTAAAGGGATATGGTGGTGGTGGAGACAGCTTAGGTGGTCAAACCTGTTAAAACTTAAAACTGAATACAGATACAAAGTCATCAAATTGATGGAGAAACAAAACGTAAAAATGGCATAATTCACATTTTGCCAATACTTTTGTGCTAAGTTAGAGATAGTGTTTTCTCACCTTACAGCCATGTTTCTTAAGCTTTGAATTATCAGCAAAATATTGCATATTTATCTCATAATACTGCCCCATATCAACAAAATGCCCTTATTCATCTCATCTGTTGCCCAAGTCACATCGATAGTGAATAATTAAATGCATTTCCTGGCAGATACAAAGGAAACGGAGAAAAATCAAAAAAGAAATATTGGTTCAGAAACTTACACAGAGCATTCTCTTTGTTGCCAAGTTTCAATCAAATGGGTTTCTGTAATTTCCATTAACATAATACAGTTGGTAGGAAGTTGGAAGGTAAAGTCATCACAAACACCAAGAGATCTGATTCTCATCTCTTGTTACAACAACAAATCACAAACAACAGGACATCTGATTTAGAATCTCATAAACAATTGAGGAACAAACGCATATCCACATATAATCACTAATATTTCTATGTAAATCGAAAATATATAGAAAAAGATAATGATTTCGCATATAATTTACAATTAAATACACAAATATTTTAACCCTAAATCAAATTAGGGATATATAAATTGATTTTTCAAAAATTATAGAAAATAATTCTAGGAGGACGAAGGACATTTGTTACCTATGGAATAGAGGAAGGTTTGACGGCGAGAGAGACCAGTCGAAAGAGAGAGCCGGCGAGAGAGAGATGGAGAGACAGTCAGTGTTTCCTAAATGTGAATGATGAAATTGCAAGGGTAAAACTCAGTGTAGGTTCGCATTAAAAAACCAACAACTGAACTGAAAAGTGCCTAATTTGATCAAAAAAATGGAACTTCAAGGGAATTTGACAGTCATAATTTACAGATAATTATACAATTAAATACCGAAAATATATACAAAAAAATAATGATTTTCACAGATAATTTACAATTAAATACCCAAACATTTTAACCCTAAATCAAATTAGGGGCATAGAAATTGAATTTTCAAAAAACATAGAAAATAATAATAAGAGAAGGAAGGACAGTTGTTACCTATGGATCCATGGAGGAAGGGAGGCTCCCATGGAGAGAGAGCGCGAGACCGAGCGAACCAGAGAGAGAGAGAGAGACATCAAGAAAGAGAGCGCCGGCGAGAAAGAGAGCCGTCGAGGCCAAAACTAGTCTACGGAAAAACATCTTACGATCCCAAACAACAACAAAAGCTCACTGAAACAGCAAAATAGAGTAACAGATCCAAGTAACAGGGAAACAGGCCCAAGACAGAGCCAAGGCCCCTCACTTTACCTCCTACACTGGCGGGCAAGGAAGGCAGTCGTGAGAGAGAATGAACAAAAAAAATTAAAATTAGGATTTTATGAAATATATTTGAAGGTTAGAATTCTAAAAACTTAAAGATTTTCTTGGGATTCATAGATGTCTGAGGGAGGCGATGTCGGTGTATGGGTACTATGTGCGTGGAGGAGGTGAAGGAGATGGGAAAAACGTGAACAGTAACTGTTATCAACCCTAACCTAATCGCCACTCACGGAGAGAATAAACAGGTGAGAGAGAGAGGAGAATTTGTCTGAGAGGAAAAAGAGGGAGTCCGAAAAAAATAGGCGCGATTGGATGGAAAAAGGCGGGATTTGAAAAGGCGTGCCAGGATACGTGCCTTAAGGGGAATTGCAGCGTACCCATTTCTATTGTAAGCTCTCTTTTTCTTTCCAGCCGTTGAGATTACTTTGATGGCTGAGATGAAGCAGCAAATAGGGGTTCGCAAAAAGGAGTTCCCACCTGAGCCGCGGCGTAAGAGATAATATGCAAGCACCTCCACAAGTCCACTCCTCCTTAGGTTTGATTCAAGTGGTCTGTTAATACTACAACGCCTCAACCCTTGAGATAATTCCATTAGCTGCATGTGTTCCACCTCCAGCTTGTTTGCATGTAACTTTCTTGCCAGCACAAACTCAAAAGACCAACTAAAGTTATAATCAATTACCCAACAAGCTAGCCCACCTAAAAAACTCCCCAGTTTGCTGACCATGCATAAACCATTTTACTACACACTACTGGGGGTGAGATTCTGAGAACTATAAGCAATATGCAATCCTCTGTCATCTTTCTAATTTTGGTCACTTTCACATTGTGATATGCATAAATAAATAAATAAACTATTTAAATTTAATTACATTCTATGCTGCTATTATTTTCTAATTAAATTAAATAATTTGAGATGGTTTTGGATGTTCGAGCAATGGAGATTGGGTTTGTGTTGAACAGCGTTTAAAAAAGTGGGGGAAAAGAAGAAAATTTTGATATATTTTATTCCTGAGGAAAAAAAGAAGAAAAATCCGACCTGCCGGATTCGAACCAGCGACCTAAGGATAGCTACAAGGATTGATCCCACTACAGCCCT